TTATTGGCATTTCCTTTCTCTCATCTTGCTTTCGATGGTCATGCTACCTTTCTCGCTTCCCTTCATTCGTTTTATTTTTCTTCTTTCTTTCTTTTTTTGTCTCCTTCTCTTCTTCCTTCCTTCTTTCGTTCTTTCCTTCTTTTGTTCTTTGCTCCCCTTCCTTCTTTCCGTCAGCCTTTCTCCCCATCTCTCCCTCCTTACCTTCCTTCCTTCCCTCCCTCCTTTCCTCCCACCTTCATTCGCCCCCTCTTTCCTTTCTTCTCTCCTCCATCCCTCCCTCCCTTCATTCATTCATTCATTCAGTCGTTCCTTCCTCCATCCCTCCATCCTCCCTCCCTCCCTCGCTCTCTCCCTCCCTTGCTCATCCTTCATTCACCCTCCTCTTTCCTTTCTTCTCTCCTCCACCCTCCCTTCATTCATTCATTCATTCAGTCGTTCCCTCCTCCATCCTCCCTCCCTCCCCTCTCTCTCTCCCTCCCTTGCTTCCTCCTTCTGCCCCTTCCGTTTTTCCTCCGTCTTTCTTCCTTCCTATCTTCGTTCTTTTCGTTTTATATTACAATATGTTTCTTTCTTGATAGATAGAGAGACGGGGGGGGGGAGATAGAGAGAAAGAGAGAGAGAGTGAGGAGAGAGAGAGAGAGAGAGAAAGAGACAGACAGAGAAGAGAAGACAGACAGAGATAGAGAGAGAGAGAGAGAGAGAGAGAGAGAGAGAGAGAGAGAGAGACAGAGACAGAGAGAGAGAGACAGAGAGACAGAGAAAGAGTTGAGGGCAGAGAGAGGAAGAAAAGAGCGTGAGAGATAGTAAGAGGAGAGCTAAGTGTGAAGGGAAACGAGTGAGAGGGATAGTATTTCTTAGTCTTTACGTGGGAAGGAAAGATAATGTAAACGAACAGGAGATAAGGGAAAGCAAAAGGTTAAAGAAAGGAAAATGAGGATAGAGAGGGAAGCCGGGGGAGGCAAATCGATGGAGAGAAAAGGAGAGAGGAGGAAAGAGTGTTGGGGAGAGGAGGGGAAGAGAGAGAGAGAGAAAAGAAGAGAGAGAGGGAGAGTGAGAGAAAGGAAGAGAGAGGGGGAGGAGTAGAGAGAGAGAGAGGGGGGGAGAGAGATAGAGAGAAAGGGAAAGAAAGAGAAAGAGAGAGAGAAGAGAGGAGATACAGGAGAGAGACAAAGAAAGAGAAGAGAGAGAGAGAGAGAGAAAGAAAGAAAAGAAGAGAGAGAGAGGGAGATACAGGGAGAGAGAGAAAGGAAGAGAGAGAGAGAGAGAATACAAAATACGAAATTGTTAGATTCATGAATGAATGAGCCAATGGTGAACAGATGCGAGAAAGCACGTTTGCAAGTTGGCAATAGATCATAGCATTCTTTTGTAATTTTGTGTTATTATCATGCCTTAAATGCTTCTTTCCTATTTCCTCTGGTATTCAGGCGAACATTGTTTATGGAATACGACCATCATAATAAAAGGGTAGCATTATTTTTTTGTTGTTTGGATTAATTGCTATATAAGGAATCATGATCGAAGAATCGTTTGTTTGTTTGTTTTTATCTAACTAATTACAAAGACATTGGCTCGATCGTCACCAGTCTGTTGTACCGATATCCTGACAGCCCTTCAGTGACCGATAAGATGCTCATTAGTAACAATTTTTGTGGCTTTTTAGGCAATGTGTGTTTTCCTTCCGCCAAAAGCGTTTTTTTTTTATTTTTTTCTTTATTTTTTTTTTAGATTCTTTCTTCACCCTGTAGCTCTGTGTCTTTCTGTCTGTCTCATTGTATGTCAGAACAGACAGTCAGATCATCAGACAGGCCGTCAGATAGAGACTGACTGATTGACAAAGAGATGTAGTATCAGTAGTAGTAGTATAAGAATAAGAAGAAAAGTTGAAGTTGAAGGAGAAGGAGGAGGAGGAGGAGGAGAAGAAGAAGGAGGAGGAGGAGAAGAAGCTGGGGGATGGGTAGGAGGAGAAGAAAAGAAGAGGAAGAAGAAAAAAGAAGACGACGAGGAGAGAGACAGTCCCACGGCGAGCAGGATCCATATCTCAAGAAGCAAACGAAGAAGGAGCGAAGGAAGCGAGAAGCCAAGAGCCCGTTTTACCTTCCTTTCCCTTTTCCGCCCGCCGCCGATGGTCAAACCCGGACGACCGCCCGCAACAGCGCCAAGTTAGGTGCGCAGTGATTGGCCTGCCGACCGCAAGAATTTTAGCGGGTCCCCCCTTCCCCCCTCCCCCGCCCCCGCCCCTCAAAATCGCCATTTGTCGGGATGATTCTCCGAGTTGACGACACAACATTTCGGCGGGCAATTCTCCCGAGAGCGGCGTCGGGTGTGGTTTCGTGGTGGCCTCCCATCGCCCTTGGCGCTCGCTCGGCCGTCGCTTTTGACGTCTTGGAGCAACAGTTTTGAGGCTTTCTGCGCGAATTTCGGGTTGGGAAGGAGTCGGATTTATGGCGTCGGGTTGCATCGGTTAGGAAAAAAGACATCCTTTTTTATTTCTTTTTCTCTTAACAGAATGAGTTCCACAAGAGTGCCGGTGCTATTGTCTCCCCATTGTGTATCCAAAGGTGTTAGCACGCTTTGCAGGGAGCATGAATCTCCACTTATCCTGTTTCGAGCTTCAAGATACTCGGCGTTTTCTGAATGCTGTTGTCTGCATTCGAAGGGCTGGGTTGCCATTTGGCGAGCCCGCGCTTTGCTTCTGAAATACGTCATGCACCCAAAGATGTGGAGCCCCAGAACACGCGTCTGTTAAATGATGTTAATACATCTGATCATCGCCTTATCTGCTGCTTGTTTTCCTTCCTTGAGCAGTCGAGAGAGAGGCATTGTGCGTGACTCCAGGCGAGCAGGCCAAGCACGTCTCTCACTGGCGCCTGCATGTGAATGGACGTGTAGACACCTCTTGGCTGTGGGCGTGGCCCTGGGAGAGGGGAGGGGGGCAGGGGGGAGGCCAGCTGGCTAACGTCAGGGCACAGGCTCTTCTGTTCATGCATAGCTCATGGTTCATGCACAACTCCCAGCTCGTGGCGGAACTGCCTGACGCGGCACCTCCGTCTGCGTGACTCCTCGCTCGGCGGCTGAACGAGCGGGATTTCGCCCGGAGTCATGATCCGTCTGGCCGCTTGTCTCGTTGCCTCGCTCGTGGCGTGCTTCCTCTTCCCCTCCTTCCTTGCGTCGGCTTTATTTGCTCCTTCCTGGCCGCCTCTGGTCGCTGTCTTGCGGCGGCGCGTATTTCTTCTGCATGGGCGTTGTCGGTTTCCCTTTGTCGGTCTTGGGATCTTTCTTTGTTTTCATCCCACTCAGCATCTACTCTCTCTGTTTGTCATTCTACCCATCTGCTTGTCTCTGTCGCTGTCTGACTCTGCTCTCTCTCTCTCTCTCTCTCTTCTCTCTCTCTCTCTCTCTCTCTCTCTCTCTCTCTTCTCTTCTCTCTCTCTCTCTCTCTCTCTCTCTCTCTCTCTCTCTCTCTCTCTCTCTCTCTCTCTCTCTCTTTCTTTCTCTCTCTCACCCTCTCCTTTCCTCCTCCCTCCCTCTCCCTCTCCCTCACCCTCTCCTTTCCTCCCTTCCTCCCTGCCCCCTCCTCCCTTCCATCTCCACCGCCCTGCCCAGCCGCCTTCATCCGGGACTCCCGCCTCGCCCGCCCAGCCGCCTTCGATACGTCGTCTCGCGCGATAAAAAACAAAGATTCTCACGGCCTACAGGATTTCCCCAGCTCTGACTCAGCACACCGGAAGTTGTAGGTCGTCTTTCAGTCTTGCCGACGGTGACTCACCGCTGGAAGAATTATCGGCGACTTGAGGAATCCGGGATGTTTTCTTCCAGGTCCCTCGTGCTCCTGTCCTCTCTGCCTGCGACCTTCTGCGGGAGGGAGGAAGGGGGGGGGGGGCGAGGCTGAAGACGACGAGGGAATGAATCGGTAAGGAGGGGGGGGGGGAACTTAGGGAGGTCGAAGCCGAGATTTGGAGCGGGCCGATAAGCGATAAGAGAGAGGTCACGTGACTCGGCTCGACCTTCGACTCTCGCACTCGAGGTCAGCGACTGAGGAATAGCGCAAACAAATGTCATTCGGTTCTGCGTGCGTTGCGAATATGGTCATCCTGTAGGGGGAATGAGAGGGGTGTAGGGGGGTGGAGTTTGATGAAGGGGGTCGGGGGGGTGAAGTTGGGGGAATGGTGGGGGGGGAGGGGGAAGTAGGTGAATGGGGGTAAGGATGGCAGACATGGATAATTTCCGGTGGTTTCAGGTTGATATCAGAGAATACCTTACCTAATAGCACCTGTGTCTTCTCCTTTTTTGTACACACACACATTGCCTCACCCCACTCCCCCTCCCCCTCACACACACACACACACACACACACACACACACACACACACACACACACACACACACACACACACACACACACACACACACACACACACACACACACACACACACACACACACACACACACACACACACACACACACACACACACACACACACACACACACACACACACACACACGCACACACATTTGATTTCCTATTTCCTCTCCTTTCCTCTTTTCACTCCCTTTTCTCTTCATTCCTTCCCGCCCTCCGCTTCTCCTTTGTCCTCCTCGAGCGTCTGATGGCGTACCTGAGCGCCACTAAAACCGAAGACGACGATCATCACTCAGGCAAATTAAGGAAGGGCATGACGAGGCGGAGGCGCGCGCGGTGCTCTTCGCCAGTCAGAACCCCGCCCGCCAGAACCCTTACGTCGGAACTCGCTTCAGAACCTCCCCTTTAGAACCTCCCCGTCGGAACTCGCTTCAGAACCTACCCATTAGAACCTCCCCGTCAGAACTCACTTCAGAACCTGCCCTTTAGAACCTCCCCGTCAGAACCTCTTCATCAGAATCTATCCCATCAAACTTACCCATCAGAGCTCACTTCAGAACCTATCCAGTAGAATCTACCCATCAGAACCTATCCATTAGGACTCACTTCAGAACCTACCTGTTCGAACTTCCACATCAGAACCTATCCATTAGAACTCGGTCATCAGAGTCCACCTATCATAACCTCCCCACCAGAACCCACGCATCAGAAGCCGGCCATTAGAACCTCTCCACCAGAACCTCCCCATTAGAACCCACCCATCAGAACCTTCCCACCAGAACCACCCATCAGAACCCGCCACCAGAACCCACCCATCAGAAACCTCCCTATCAGAACCCACCCATCAGAACCTCCCACCAGAACCCACCTCATCAGACCCTCCCCATCAGAACCTCCCCACCAGAACCACCTCATCAGAACCTCCCCAATCAGAACCAACCCCAGACCCCCCCCCCCCATCAGAACCGCCCACCAGAACCTCCCCACCAGAACCCCTCACCCAGGCAGCGCGTCAGCGTCATGGGATAGTGAATTGCCTCCCAGGATGTCGTCAAGTTCACCGCTGCTAATTGTTCTGCGAGAGATTACATCACTTAAATATAACCTGCCCTGTTTAGCTTACATTTTATCCCCCTATAAATGTGGCCGGAGAGATGAGTATCGTCGTGATCCGGCCATTATCGCTTATCCGGACCCCGATCGAGTCTTAATGTGCTCCGTGCTGACCGGGAGATATATGTCTGGCCCGGCTTCGTGTCTGTCTGTATGATCCGTTCATTTGTCACTGTTCTTGGGGGTCGCTTGTGTGTGTGAGAGAGAGAGAGAGGGGGGGGGGTATTGGTGGGTGGGTAGGGGTGCGGGTGGGTGGGTGGGTGGGTGGGTGGGTGGATGGGTGTTGTGTGGGAGTGTGTGGTGAGTGTGTGGTGAGTGGGTGGTGTGTTTGGGTGGGTGGGTGAGTGAGTAAGTGTGTAAGTGTGTGTGGATGTGTGGGTGTTTTTGTGGGTGGGTGGTTGAGTGGGTGTGTGTTTGTGTGGTGGGTGGGTAAGTGTGTAAGTGTGTGTGATGTGGGTGGGGTTGAGTGGGTGTTTGCATGGGTGGGTAAATGTGTGACTACGTGTGTGTGTGTGTGTCTGTCTGTCTGTCTGTGTAGTGTAATTTGACGTCCGTGGAGCTCAGACGCCAGCCTCGGAGTGCCATCCCGACAGCCCGATTCCGTGAGCCGTTGTTGACGCAATAACCATGTTCACCGTTTCTTAATCCGGCTTCGCGGAGGCGTTCGCTGTACGGGCCTGCCGGGAACGTCCTTTTACGGTCTCTTTCATATGAACAATTTTTTAATCGCCGGTGTCTGTGTCACTTCCGGTCGTGCGTATTTTTGCGGTCTTAGAAATGCAGGTTTGCAATTTTCCTCGCGCTGATCCTGGTTCTGTCATCGCGAGCGCAGACAAGTACAGACTTCCTTGTTCTTTATGTGTCTTGGGCGCTTCTGAGATATATATTTTTTTTCGGATATTTTGCGGCGTCGGGAGAGCTGTCTGCGGCGTGTTGGAGCGTGGGTGTTCGTATGCGCTTTGTGTGTTTGTGTGTGTGTGTGTGTGTGCGTGTGTGTGTGTGTGCGTGTGGGAGTTTGTATTTGTTGTGTAAGTGTGTTTGTGTGTGTTGTGCGTGTCGGTGGGAGTTTGTATTTGTTGTGTAAGTGTGCGTGTGTGCAAGTGTGTTTGTGTGTGTTTGTGTGCGTGCATTCCGACCCACCGCAATTGGAGTCAGAGATCGCATTTATCAGGGAGCGATCAGTCCTCATCTGGCACAAAACTTGCGTGCTTGATCCCCCCAACACCCCCCCTCCCTCACCCACTCCCCTCCTCCCCCCCCTCCCTTCCCTACAATTGACCCAATTTATCTCTCTATGAGTTTCTTCTCTCCCTCGGCGGAGTTCGACCTACAGATTCATTTCTTGAAGAGGATGTTCCTTGAGTGGCTACCATTGGCGGGAGGTGAGGTCGGCCATTAGGTGACTGGCCACTCATAACCGAGCTCCAGTTAGGACCAATTACAATGATTGCTTGCACAGTTACTGACAGCAAGTGCCCGCCGCAACGCCCATCTGGCTCTGCCGTGCGGCTGTCTGGCTGCCTGTCTAGCTGTCTTCCCCATCACTGTTATTTGTCTATCTGACAAATAGCATATCCTGGCGTTTCCATTAAACTGCTTTAACTGCAGAGGAAGCGAAGATAGGGAGGGAGGGAAGGAGAGAGAGAGAGAGACAGACAGACATAGACAGAGAGAGAGAGAAAGAAACAGACACACGGACAGACAGAGATAGAATAACAAAGACAGAGACAGCGAGAAACGAGACAGCCAACCATCCAGGCAGTCAGACACAAACAAAAAGCCAGGGAAGAGAGAGAGAGCGAGAGAATGTGTGTGTGTGTGTGTCCGTTGGATGTGGATATGTGGTTGCAGAGGCACCGGCGGGACATGCAATAAGGCAATATCCTCATTCACGTCGACCCATAATGGCGAGCGCGGGGAGCTGTAGGTCTAGGGCTCACGTGCTGGTGTGGTGGTGTGGAGGAGCGGTGTGGCGGAGCGGTGGTGTGGAGGCGTGTGGTATAGTGATTAGGTGGAGAGATGGTGAGGAGCGGGGTGGAGTGGCTGGCCTGCGCCGTGGTGGAGGTGGTGGAGGAAAGGGAGGAGGTCGGTGAGAGAAGGAGGGAGGAAGGATGACGAGGAGGAGGAGGAAGAAGAGAAGAGGTGGGAGTGGATACGGATGAGGAGAGGAAGAAAAGGAATAGGGGGGAGGAGGAAGAAGAAGAGGAAGAGGGGGAAGTGGATGTGGGTGAGGAGGAGAGGAAGGAGGAAGAAGAAGATGAAGAGATGGGAGGAGGAGGAAGAAGAGGAAGAAGAAGAAGAAGAAGAGGAGGAGGTCTGGTGGAGCGAAGAAGGATGGAATTCCTAGCTTAGCTGCAGGGGGTCTGGCTGGGGCGTTAGTTATTGGGCCACTCGGGAGATTCCTTTGGGTCTGGGGAAGGCGACATTGCTCTCTTTCTCTTTCTCTCTTGCTCTCTCTCTTTATCTCACCTTTCTCTCTTTCTTTCTTGCTCTTTTTTTTCTTTATCTCATCTCTCTTTATTTCATCCTTTTCTCTCTTTCTTTATCTCATCTCATCTCTCTCTCTCTCTCTCTCTCTCTCTCTCTCTCTCTCTCTCTCTCTCTCTCTCTCTCTCTCTCTCTCTCTCTCTCTCTCTCTCTATTTCCCAACGTTGGACCGTGGTTCACCATTTGGAATCCGGGAAAAGAAAACAGATTTTTGTTCGCCTTTGTCGACTGCGCCAAAGGAAGAAATTAAGAATAAAGGAGGGAAATAGTTGGAATTTTGTGTCCCTTAGTTCGCATAATCTGGTCTCCGTCGTTTGAAATCGCACTTCAAATGGCCGACTTCTAAGAAAAATGGATTTCCGTTCGCGCCGACGAAATAGATTCTATGATATTTTTGTCCCGCGGTTGATGAGCGTGATGGCTGGACTAACACCCGCCCTGCCTCCATCCCCCTACCCCTCGTCACTCCCCCTACCCCCCCCCCCCACCGTTGCTCTCCCTCTCCCTCTCTCCTCTCCCACCCCTATTACTCTCCCTGCCCCCACTCCTCACCCCCTTCTTCCTCATCCCTCCCCCTAACCCTACCCTTGTTACACTCCTCTCCCCCCCCCCACCGTTGCTGCTCTCTCACTCCCCCCTATCCCGTAGCTCCCCTCCCTTAGCTCCCTCCCCCCCCTTACCGTGGGTCCCCCTCACCCTTCCCTGAATTATGGCGACCACGGCGACGCGGTGCCTGACAGTCCAGAGTCCTGAATCCATTATGGCAAAGCAATTTGTTGGGTTGAATATACGGCTGTGACTCTTGTGATGTATATATTTATAGTTTTGTGTTGTGTCGGAGGGAGGGGGAAGGCCTTGTTCGCTCCTTCTTTTTTTCAAACCCGAAATATCCGAGAAAATTCCCGAAGGTCTTCCGAAGCATCCCGCGACGCGATCCCTCGAAGGGTGTTTGCCAGTCGAGGAACGTTCGGCGACTTTCGCGTTTTTGTTTTTGTCATCAGGGGCTGACTCGCGCACGCACGCCGCTCGGCCGACTGTCATTAGCACTACCTCGTCTGGGCTGAAGCGTCGTCTGCCTCGTCTGCCCGCCGCCGCCGCCGCCGTTCTCGGGGTCCCGGCATCACGTCAGCTCGGGACAAGGACTGCCACGAACCCAGGCGACTCATCCTTCGCCTCTGACCCTCGTTTTCATTGGGATGAATACACGCGCGATAAATATTATGTCACGTGTCACATTTCGCGACGTTGCGAAGGTCGGGGGTGTGAAGAAAGGCTCTAGATGTGGTGGTGTGACACAGACGACACTCGGACCTCCTCTACGCATCGACTAGAGGCACATCAGCATGACTGCAGTAGTACGGGGAAATCGTAGGACACGATGAATATATTTGCAGCAGAAAGCTCAGTCAAAGCAGATACTGTAGTAGTATTGGTTGTAGTGGTGGTATTCTCTCTCTCTCTCTCTCTCTCTCTCTCTCTCTCTCTCTCTCTCTCTCTCTCTCTCTCTCCTCTCTCTCTCTCTCTCTCTCTCTCTCTCTCTCTCTCTCTCTCCATCCAGCCTTCCCTCACTCCATCCCTCTGAGTGTGTGTGTAAGTTTGTATGTGTGTGTGCATGCGTGTGCGTGCGCGCTTTTGTGACTTGTAAGCTTTTATATCCATCTTTACCAATAGTTCACCGTCTTTATCGATCAGTATTGGTTTCACCTTAGGCTGAATATTACCAGAGTGTGTGAACGCACGAGAGAGAGAGAGGGAGTGAGAAGCAGAGAGAGAGAGAGAGAGAGAGAGAGAGAGAGATACACAGATAGATAGAGAGAGAGAGCGAGCAGGCAGAAATGTCGTATGATGATTGGGTTCTTCTTGTCCCCATTTTGTGGTCACTCGAAAAAAGGAGAGGAAAAAATCTTTTCCATTGGCCGGTTAGGTGACATTTCAGGTCCTTTTCGGGACAGGAATGTGCCATCCGCTGCCGGTCCCTTCGGCTGACGCTCCCACTGGAAACCCACTGACCCTTGACCCTTAAGGCAATCCGAGATGCGTTCGTTACTATGTAGGATCGGGGTTGTGATTCAGACTTCGGAACCTATCAACCCAATTGTATTTTTTTCTCGTCTTCTTCCTTTTATTGTCTGTTAGACTAAGAAGCTGAGGACAGGGACGCGAACCGAGGAAAAGGAAGGGGATGCAGGGATTTGGGAGAAGAAGGGAGGGGGGAGGGGGGAGAGTGGGAAGGAGAGAAGGGGGAGAGAGAGGGAGAGAGGGGGAATGGGGAGAAAGAATGGGGGGAGAGTGGGAGGACGGGAGTGGGGAGAAAGAGAGGGGTAGAGTGGGGAGAAGGAGAGGAGGGGAGGGAGCTATAGAGAAAAGGGTAGGGAAAGAGAAGGAGAGAGGGAAAGGGAAGAGAAGAGAGAGGGGAGGTAGGTGGGGGGGGCTCTTCCTCCTCCATTCCCTTCTTGGTGAACTCTCGTGA